CTTTATTTTGCTATAGAAACAAAATTATAGTATACAATTAATGACACCCGCAGGCATCGTATTGTGTTGAGTCAGTGTATACTCGAGTCGCCATGGCAACGCGCCAACGATGTCCGCGAAAGTATTGGTATTTATGGTGGGTATATATTCATCGACTGAATAGGTATCAACGAAAAGAAAACATCATTCACCGTGAAGTCGATTTAATATTATACAGCGGAAGTCACCTCGCCGCTAGGTGTTACTGAACAGCTAGTTTGCTAAGTGGTGATTCATTTTATGAATGCGGGTATATTTCCCCGGAAAATTTACGCGCCGATTGATTGACTTGTTTTATTATTATTAACACAAACTCGTATTATTGAAATAACTATTGTCCGCGATATTCCTTGAGATGGCGCCACTCTCCGTATGTTTAAGTTCAATAGTGGCATGCGAATGCGGCAAATGGAATTTACTTAACCCGTCGTCTGTTCTCTAACTGTGATCGATAACCTAACCAACTATTCATTGTGGATACGTTGCAGTAAACGATCAGCGCAATTCAGAGGCCATTCATACCTACATTCATCCTCCAATTAAATCTAAAAATGCCTCTCTCGTGGATTGATATGCCAATTTTAATTTAAAATTAATTTTCAACAACAAATTGTCAATATATGGTCTACTTCATCGTGGCATATACCAACAATAATACTCCCAATCCTGTGTTAATTTCTCGCACCATATTTCGAAAATGACCGGTTTCTAAGGATTCCTTGAAGAGACGCTGCCTAATATGCTCATTTTAAAGGAATTGTATTGTGCGCGTTCGCATAATATTTGTTATAAAACGACGCATTCCATTGCATGGGTGAGTCAAGAACAACATACATAATATATATCATGCACGGTAAATAATACATCACAATAATAGAACAATTTATGAATAAACACATTGTAAATCCGTCTCCATAGCAACATACTGTTGATGATAACAAACCACCTGTACGTGATCAGAGTATACAATCAATTGTTAATAATGTACCATTTTGACTGCAGGGCAAAAGTTGTTGAAGTTTTGATATCTACTTCAACACCCACTGACTTAATGGGAAGTCGATGTTTTCAAAATATGTGAACAAACATTATGTACGCGATGTACAGTGGGGGAGATGAATCATGGTGACCTGATTCCCAAACGAATACGAGTACTAATCAGTCTTAGTTGAAACGAACTGGCATACATTTACGAAACGTGGGACTAGAATCCAACTTCATAAGTAAGAAATTTGATACGAATATTAAAGTGGGGGAGTCGTCACCTGCACATGCGTCAGATGGCCATAGCGTGTCGTTGTTTACAAACAAACGTCTACCTGTGAGCCTTTGCGTTTTTAGTGTGTGTTGTTATCGTCGCTTAGGACTCAATTCCCGTGCGTGCGCAGGTGACGACCCTACCGCTTTAATAGACCATTTATGCATTATGCGTGAAATCGAACGTAAAAACAGGACAAACAAAAGTCATAGCGTCGTAGTGGCGTCAAACATCGCGTGGGATTCGACAAACGCGAAGTATTTTGGGGGACATTTCCATGCTTAATAATGTGCTGTCCACATTTGATGATAGGCAATTTTGATTATGTAAGGGTATTCGGAAGCAATATTCCTCTGTCGAAGATCGGCCGGTCGATGTGAGTTACGAAATAAAGAAATTCTAGTTCAAAATCAAATCGTTCGATTTTTGCGGCAGACGTTCGACGCGCGTTTTTCATACATCTCGCGAGATCTCGCAATTGTACGGAAAATCCCATATTGTACCAATCGGCAGTCATTAGGTTTTCCGATGAAGCTTTATAACATTATGTTAGCTTGCATGATTCAATCCGACTGCCTCCAAAACAGTCCAGTAAACCACAGTGCAAATAAATGAAAACTACCTGCGAAACATTGTCTGAAATGTACACTCGATTATAGAAGATCGGTATAAACTAACTATATGTTAGCGCTCATTAAAAACATAATATTCTGAGTAATTATTTAAGTAATGTTTGTCGTACAAAAGATATTGACTACAGAATGAAATAAAACAGAAACATATTAATCGCATCGACCAGCAAATCATACCGTCTCGCTATGGGTAGAATTGCTGTTGATTATATTGACTGCTATGTATTATATAACGTTTGATCGATGGTGTCCCTCCTCATATTGGTTGCTTTGTATGCATCTAAACGCCACAGTGCTATGTGAAAATAAAACACTCTATATATTAAAGAAGATCGTGAGGGGGAAATATACTCTACAATCTACAAACGCATTTGTAAATGAAATTTGAACTGTCTTTTAAAATTGAAACCTAATGTGTGTGTGTTTTTTTTATCTTTACTCGATTCTTCCACTTTCAAATTCGATCACGTATACATCTCTCTGTTGAGGTCACGTAGAACTGACAGGTCGTCTAAAAAGACAGCATGATCTCACGAAAAAAAATGATTGATTCGTTGTGGAGATTGTTTAATAACCCTCTGTGAGCAGCTCGCAACGCTAACTGAGCCAACATCACAGAATATATGTATAATGTTGAACCGACAGTAATATATTCAACGCTGCAAGTGCTTTCTTCAAGGTCTGTTTGTGTATTCTTACTGTACTTTCATGAACGAGCACAGTTTGACCTTTTCTGGACTCTTTGGCTGTCTTGGTGATTAACTGTCAAATTTTGAATGTATATTTAAATATCCTTTTTTATCTACGCGTACTTTGAACGTAAACATTCATTTTGTCTACATTTATTGTTTTTTTGAGTTATTCAAACTAGTTTCCATGGAAACAACGCGCGCATAGATCGCTACTCCTATTTGCATATTGTCATCTGTGTAAATGTTGACGTAACTGATTACTTAATAGTCGTAGTAGCCTAAGAAAATGAATAATACAAATGTAGTAAAAATGGAACGCTGAACAATGCTTGAAACATGCAAAGACATTATTTCATACCGGGATTTGGCCGGATTGGGGATGGTCGCATCTACGTCGCGGTGATTGGAAAACTCAAGTTTACTCTCTCTGTGTTCTATTGAAAATGAGATGTTCCGATCTGTAAAAAGAAGATTCTGACGCAGTCGATTCATATTACACAAGGGAAGAGCAGGTGAATATTAATCGAGAATGAACTGTAAGCTAGTGGAAGCGCGCCCTCTATTGATGAAACGCTTCTGTGATGTCAAAATGACGTATATGAGTGAAAACAATGTCGTTGAAATCGACAACTGTGTTTGTTTGTTTGTTAGTCATTAGTCATCTAAATATAGAAAAATCTCTCAAGATCGTAGTCTAATTGAAAGAAACGACGTTTAGAACGATCTTCGTGTCATCCATCAACATAGAAGCGCCTCCTAATTTACTTCCGTTTTTATATTCTCAAAATTTTACCATCCAGGCTTTGTAGAATTTTGCTATCTTTGAGTTTTAAATTGAGAGATAATATATTTTCGCCCACTCGCTACGAGGCCCTCCAGTGCAATGTATATTTAAAGGGGGCTGCGCATGCGTCAGATTGCCATAGCGTGACATTGTTTTCAAGCCAGCGTCTACCCATGAGCCTTTATGTTTTTAGTGTGTGTTGTTATCTTCGCTTGGGACTCAATTCCCGCGCATGCGCAGATGACGACCCTCCCGCTTTAAACATGACGTATATGTATCTAAGGTGAGCGTGAAACAATAAACTGAATGGCGGCGAATTAATCACATTGCGTAAAACTGAGGCTAAAGAAGATTGCCAGTGTAAAACGGAAAAAAAGCTTTTGCAGACAATGTTATTGACCCATTTGACGATAAAACACTCAACGTTATTCACACTGTAAATGGAATGACGATTTGACGCGTGATCATTTATGACCAAATATGGTGGTGATCAGCATTTTGTTGCATCGGCGGACGTACTGTTATACAATCACTTTTTAACGCAGCATTGTATGTTGATGGCGCTCGTCCGCTGCAATCGCCGTTATTGGAAGCTGAGTGTTACGCTATGAACCGTTCCGAGAGCAGATAGTAAATATAAACATCAAAAATATACTACGATGTGTTCTACCACAGCAGTTGGCTCCTCGTGCCCTGAAGCGGGCAATCTTCCGAGAATTTCGAAAAGATTGTGTATTACAGAAGTTCTATGCTTTCAATTTATATTTTCCTATCATGTAATAAAAACAAGTCCAGCGCGTGAGTTGCGGTCCGGTCCGGCCATTTGAATTGAATTCATCCACTTCTGTGTTCTAGGAAAAAATGAAGGCCCAAATTTTTCATTTAAAAAAAATGAAACGAAGAGATCAATCTACTAGAATTCACTTTTTCACTATCGCCGGTCTACGGAAATTTAACTAGATTCTCTAGATGAAATATCGTTCTTTAAAACTTATTGATGACCCGAATGTTTGCTAGTAGTTCAATTATTGCCTTCCTAAACTACGGAAATTTAGCATCTTGCTAAGATCAATAGATTTGGCCCAAATACATACAGTTAGTCAAACATAATACCAACAATATAAAACAGTTTGTCAGTCTCTAAAAGCTTCGATGTTTCAAGGCAGTTACTTTAGTTTATTTCATGATTGCCTTAAAATCGAATAAAAATGACTAACTGGGGCGACTTCGTAATATAGCATCGACAATAGCATGACGATCGATGAGTTTATTGTAATCTTCACTCCGAGAACAAATCTAGTTTTGAATTAGTCCACGCGCTGGGTCACGTGACGTGCGGGATCCTTCACTCTTGTAACCACTGACCAACTTGAAACACATTTCAATAGCATCATTTATTATTTACGGCTCCGCGAAGCGTTGTAAAAAGTTGATCTCTGTGCATGATGTATCTATTACAATTGAGTCGTTGTTTATCGATTATACAGGCCCGTAATTCAATCCATTAAAGCGCGAATTGACAAGGTTACCTGCACAATACACTTACTGATTACGTCTGTCTTATCTGTTCACTCACAGGGACTTCCCATAGCGATAAGGGCTGCTGTTCGAAGGCTACAAAATGGAATCCGATGCCGCAGACACCACAGTGTTGGAGATAGAAGCGCCTTTGAAGAGACAGAAAAGGAAAAAGAAGAAGTCGAGAGACAGAAACGAAAACAATAGAAAAGAAGAATATAACATGCAAATCATATCCAACGACGCCGCCATTTTGGAGGTCAAAACGAGAGAATGTCGAGATAATGAAAGGCAGTCGAACGAAATTGTTGTCAAACACACAGACGATAATCACGAAGAAAGGACTCGGAAGATTAAGAAAACGAAAAGTGGGGAAACGAGAGAACGCCATGAGAAATGTCCCAAAGCTGATAGCCGAACTGAATCTGAAAAAGTTGAACGACGTAGACGCAAAGAAAAGAAGTCTCGAAATCTGGAAAAAGACAGGGACATTGAAATTAAAGACGACGCACAAAAATACAAGTCGTCGAAGAGGAATGACCGGAAGAAGTCTAAAGACAAGGTCGAAACTACTAGTACTAATGAGGATGTAAACGTAGCATTTAAAAAACATAAGAATGTTCATCGCGCGAGACAGAGAGACCGCGATGATGACGAAGCATCGGGTGGCGTCGTAGAACAAAATGACAGAACCGTCACGGTGAACGACAGGAGCGAAAAAAGACAACATTTTCCGGCTGGATATCGTGACAAAAGAGTCCAAGACGGCAGGAAAGGACGGAAAAGTAGGCGACAAAACAAGAATGACGATGAAGCTCTTCGAAATGATAAAGAACGTGACATCGAAGCGGGTGGAGATCACGACGTGGCGCACCGGACAGATTCCGAAATAAACAGGAAAAAGAATAAACGCCATGTGCGAGAAGATGGAGATGTGAGAAAAACTCGAGAAAATCGACGGGGTTCTGAGGATAAAAGGCAACGCAAGACCCGTCGAAGTCAGCACGTGGACAACCCTCGACAGAAGGCACAACGTAATTTAAAAGAAAGTGACGGAGCAAGGAAAAACAGTGACGAGTCATCTCCTAGAAGTATCTTAAAATCGAATGGTAACGGTAGTGATGAAAATCGGGCTGACACTTATAATATTCATACACATGGACACTATGATATAGTCGAAATAGAAAAAGTAGAAAACCGTCCCACTTCGTCTAACAGTGATGAAAATCGGAAAGACGGGTCGGTTAAATTCTCTGTAGTCGAAGATGCTTCAGTCGCAAAAGCGAGACGAGAGTCATCGCAAGATAACACGGCGGATGATTCCGAATCTTCGTCTTTCAGTGCTTGGTCCACAGGTAGCAGCGAATCCGAGTCCGACACTTCGAATATACCTAGGCAAAAAGGCTCGAATGTCCGGCAAAAACGGCGTGCGTACAAGAAAGACTCAATGTCAGAATCACAGTCTGAGAGCGAATCAGACAATTCGGGATCCCTCTCCGAATCCGAATACACCACAGAATATGATAGCGAATCCGGGAGCGAATCGTCGTATACAGACTCGTCCAGCGGATCGTCGGAATATGAGACAGAAACAGAAACCGATTCTGATTACAGTGATTACGAATCTGGTTCGGAAACCGACAGCAGCTACAGCAAAAATTCAGAAGACGAAGCAGACGGAAGTCGTCGAACGGCATACGTGATTAAAAAGAAGAGAGATAGTGTTGAGCACAATCCCATAAATGAAAAAGACGATTCAAATAACGCTGCAAGTAATAAAAGTACCACTGTCAGCAGAAGTTGTCTCGTCATGTGAAACAAACATTACATCCAGTATTCCGCGATTAACCGACATGCATAACGTTCTCGCGAGATCTGAATACTGACATGATTGATAACGTACTTTTGACAACATATAAAACTAACATGAAAGAAACACAATACTAGTATAGAATATTACAATTATTCGATATATATGAACAATAATTGCAATTATTTATCGTCATTATTATTATTATACATAGGAGAAACACTGAAACCATGCCAATTTTTGGAATGTGTTATTTCTTGTGCAAACATCATCGTCGCTGTAGAAAATGATCACGTGCACACTTAATAAAATATTAATCTGTGCAGTCTATAACCATTTAAACATCACCTAGACAACCGTTCAAATACAAAAAAAAATGTCCAGTTACCCGTAATGTTATAATTTCAGCATAAGGTAAGCAAGCAAAATTGTGCTCACCGAATCAGCTGTCATAAACAGTGAACAAAAAGTTCTCATAAAACAGAGTCAGGGCCCACACTTTGAAACAGGGGGAAATAATAAACGCCAGCAGCTCCAGCCTCAGCACGCTTAGTTTGAAAGCGTGCACTGTATCCATCGTCCGCCCTCCCATGATGTAGAGACAGTGAACTGAAACATCATACCTTGAAACATTGAAAATGGAATGTGTCAGATTTGTTTTGATCACATTGATTCTCTCACAACCCAATGTCATTTACCAGTAGCAAGCATAAACGCGCCTCGATCGGAGTTTTGATCTGGTCGCACGATATGCACTAAACACCCGACTTTGACTCATAGTATCGTTCCAATCATCACTGAAATTACCGTTAAACCATGGCACCTTTTCTGTACGCGTTGATCTGTACATCAATTTAAGTCGGCATCCTTGTTAAAACATAAAATGTGCTCGCCGTTTACGACACTTATTCTTTATTTGATTTGGTAAGTAACAAAATTTAGCCGACTTTGCCAAATTGTGCTCAACACTTTGCCCACTGCGACCTGACATAACTTTTATATCATCAATGTTATTACAACAGTATAATGTATATACATGTATATTGCTACTTTGTACAGTAATAATTAAATAAAACAAATAATAACAATTTTTGTCATGGCAACAAATAACTATAATAATCCACGTGCTTCGAGGTAGTAGACACGTTTATTATGAGAAATTTCACGCCCAAAAAACTCAAATTTATATATATATATATTTTATAAATTCTGCCAGTAATCGCCAACTTTTCGTACTGATATCCATAAGACTAAGTTTACTTATTTTGTAAAAAAAAATCTGAACTATATGCAGGTTTGTTTGAAATATACAAAGTACGGGCAAGTCAACTGGTGCCTTGGTGATGGAATAAGCAGATTGGTCAGTGTAGACCGGAATCTTGTGTTACCCGTATCATGGAGCTTTATTCTTAGCGTCATGCATGCTCGTATTAACTTTCTATTCATAATGATCTCAAATTTAATGCTAACAAAGTGTACGTCTTAAGGTAGAGATGCAGTTTATTTGTGAATTTCAATCAAAAATAGTTTTTTTCGTTTTTTGTATAGATTTTTATCTAAAGAACATTCTGTGAAAAATTGACCAATGAATTCTTCTTGGAACACCGTTAAAATTGCTGTTTATTTTCTGGTTAAAAATAAAAAACACTCACACGT